GGCTTCATTTGATGCTTCTTCAGTTCGTATATTGTGAGGCGGATTGACTTTTAATTCGTCAATCTGCATGTGTTGCTAGGTCACCCACTATTGGACGGTTGCTAATGCTGAAGCTGCTGTGATCATTGTCCGGTCTGAGTAGGTTGAGCCAGCCTGCTGCTGTTTCCGAAAGAGGTGCTGTCTTCTGTCATGTGGCCAGTTCAATTGAGGGAATAAGTGCCGTTTACTTCTTACTGGAGAAAAAGATATATAAACGACGGATAATGATGAATGTTCTACTAACCGTTGCTGTGGCTAAGCTCATTTTTGGAGGTACTGAGTGAATGACCAAAATCTGATCAGTTGTGCGAGGAAAATACAAGCCATAACTGTGCGATTTTTCTAAACACATTCCAATTTTTACCATTGGGAACCAATTAATTGCATTCTTCTGTCTTGAGTTCTGAAAAATTTATTCTAATGATAGGAATTTGTATGAATTGAATTATATATGATCACAAGACAAAAAAATAATAAATCAGAATAGTTCAAAGTTTGTCTTAGGAAACCCTACTAATGGGAATAATCTGATGATCACACAAACCTATTCATCGTCTACCTCATTATTTAGTTTATCCAACTCTCGGATTTATGGTGTGAGTCGACTGCTGATGAATTTTTGATGCACGGCATTATGGTATCTATATAACAAAGACAAACAAAGCGAGTTTATCCGATCTCAGGAGCTCGAACGGTGACAAACACCTTAATAGAAAGTGCGCTTGCGCATTATGCAATATGGCAAGTAGTCAGGGGAAATATGCAAATGTTGCTTTGATTGAATGTCCAACCAACTCCAACCGATGTATTCATATCACGAAGTTGAGAAAAACAGCTTTTCAATGAGTCAGCACTCTTCTGCACAAATGACATTTCACTTCACAAGCATGAGTATATTTTGTGAGTTTACTAAATAAATGAATGTTAACTATAAATTTGTTGCAGAATTCTGCCAAATTTGCTGTTATTCCATTGTTTGGTGTGTACCACCTTCATTTACTTTAGCTTATTCTTGACTTACTACCCACAGCATATAGGAGTTAATAAGGTTAAATTAAAAAAGAAGTTGCTTACTTTCTTTTCCCTAATTTTAGGGCTTAGCTTATCACTGCAGGTCTTACGGAAACTTCACACAAGCGCTATGAACTCTGGACACAGTGGTGCTGTTCCTCCTAAGCCTTTCTTATTATTACTACAAACTGCGAATCCGTATCGAGTAGTCTTTGATCGAGACAACGTTCCGGTACAAAAAATGAAGATGCTGTCATCATCGCTACATGACAGTTTCATGCGAGTAAGGAAAAATAATTTTGCAAACGACGCAGATGTATGCCATTTATATGGCCTAGCTGTAAAACTGTCAATTAATGAAAAAGCGCCATTAGTAATTCCATTGCC